GTGGCAACCTTAGATTTTCCCAGGTAGTCTGCCTCTCTGAAGGGGAATTCTGCCAAGAATGGAGAAAAAAGTGAAGGTCAAAAAAAATAAAAGAAAAAAACTTTTGACTACAAAAGTGATGTCGACATCAAACCGAGCTGCACAAAGGCTCTCTAGAAGCTCTGTGTAATTAGAAGCAGACACACCATTGGAGCTGATGACCGACATTCAGATGACCATTTAATGGACACCTTTAAATGGATCGAAAAATTCTGCTCACTCTACACCTCATTTCTCTCTTTTGTCTCCTGAGCCCTTGCCATTTTTTGACCTACCATATACCTGGTTTATTTTATCCTGTTTATTCTTCACCTGTAATCAGTGGCGAGCTCCATAAAATTTTGTTTGCAAATTCAAAATTGTTGTTTATAATACTGTTCAAACAAGTGTGTTCCAACTCTGGCATCTAAGACTCAGGGATCACTATGGAAGAGGACCAGCAAAGACTGGAATGGTCAGAGAATCAGGGAGTTTGCTGGGAGGTTGTGTCTCCGATGAATGTCCGAAGTTACACCCATGAAGTCTCCACAACAGGGCTGAAGGAGGTGGACAATAAAGAGGCTGATGTGGGTGGGGGGTGAAGGAGGACAGCCCAGGTCTCAACCTTAGACAAAGGACTAAAGGCAACTAAGGATGCTGAAAGTCAAAGAAATAGTCATGCCCTGGGAAGATCACACTGTTGGTTATCCAACACCAAATGGTCGCATACATACAAGTAACAATGTACAGACTAAGCAGGTTGTTTTATGTTTTTAGGAACACACACATATATACACACAATAATTAAATGAAAAAGACAGTGAATTAAAAAAAAGTTGGAGAGGTATATATGGGAGGGTTTGGCTAGAGGAAAGAGAGAGGGAAATACTATAATTATAATCTCAAAAATATTTTTACAAAGTGTTAAGTATAGAAGTACTTCAGCAATATTTGTTATTGAATGGATTCTAAACCTATATATATATATATACACACACATATATACATATACATATATATATATATATATATATATATATATATATATATATGTTAAGGGTTGGGGGTGTAGCTCAGTGGTAAAGCACTTGCCTACCACGCGTGAGGCCAGGCTCTACCTCCAGCCTTGAAAAAGAAAAACAAACAAACAAAAAAACCACCTCTATGCTAATAAGAAAGTATTTACATATAAAGTATTTCTATAGTACTATAGCACCAGTAATTTTTACTATTCAATTTAATCTACATATATCTTATATTTCTACTTTGAGTGGAAAATTAGATTCATATTTAAATGACAATAGTTTCTATCAGTAAAATAAGATTAAATGTAGGGAAGATTAAATTCAAGTGCTTAAAAGTGTATGCATATGTCAGCCATGAGTAAATTTAACCCAACTTTCTTCCCTGAAGTACTGGGTTTGTTCAGTTCTTTTAGCAATAAAATTGGGCTGGAAATTGAACCCTCTCCCATGATCTATTTAGCAGCAGACTGGTGAGGAAGTGGAAGGCATTCTGTCAGTTATATGGTTAACTTCAAAGGGAGCTTTACAGAATACAAACCTGAATAATATTTTTTCTCATTTGCAATAGCAGTATTCATTATAAACAACTTATTATATATCTATACATGGATAAATGATAGTTTTGAAAAGCCAATTTAAGTGTGATAAACTGTCAAATCAGATGTGTCATAGATTAAAAAAGTAAGTCTGAAATTTTTTTCTTAAGAAACATTTCAAGTGCTTTGTTGATAAGGGTGCCTTCCACTTCCTCACCAGTCTGCTGCTAAATAGATCCTGGGAGAGGGTTCAATTTCCAGCCTAATTTTACTGCTAAAACAGTTTGATGGTGTTTACTAATTTTAAAAAATCCCTAGACATAGAATTTAATTATTTTGGGTTACTCTAGAGAGCTCAAAGACCAGTAAGTCGATTGAAATTGAACAGAATTTGGCCTATGTATCTTCTGAGGAAGAATTTGTTAACAATGTGAGCATTTCAAAACTAGGCGGAACTGCTCTGCCATAGAGCAAACCTCCCATCAGGGGTTGACTAGAAGCTTCCAACTCTAACTGTCTAACAGACAACGAGCCGGTTCTGCCCAGTTCTTTCCCACCCTGTGCTGCTAACATGTGAATGCATTTGCCTGTGGAAGACACACACCAACAAACCGCTCCAAAGACCCTGCTTGGAAGTGCAGAAATCCGTCAATGTCTCTGCCTGGCCCAGGAAAAGAGTTTTGAAGACTATCTGCCTTGGAGCCATTTGCTTATTTACCAAGGTAGAAATACCTTCTTTTCTTATCCCCCCCTTACCCCCGTCCCCCCCCACCCCGTCCCCCATCACCCTCTGAAGAGCCTGAAGATCTGCTTACATTCCAGAATGAAGGACTTTCTATTTCTGGAATAAAGGGAAACAATGGCCCCACTTCCTGAGGATACCTACACAAACATGGAGTCTTATTAGTCCAGACCCTCTCTCCTAGTTAGGAACTGTTTCTTGTGGAGGCAGGAAGTCAACACTAAGATAATCCATGAACATATAGTTTTCTCTGATGCAGACACTTGGTATCTATCAGAATTCCTACAAGGGAGGAAGGGAGTTGGGGGTGGGGGAGGGAGGAAGAAAGATTGGAAATGTGTGTACTAGGAATTCATTTTATTCCTCTGTTGAATGGAACATTTCATCAGTTAATGACAAAAGCACCTTTACTTTAGATATACATTACTCTCCATGTGTACATATACTAATGTATTTCCAGAGCAATCTTGGTAATTTTAGGTGATGTTTCCAGTCCAAAGTCAATAGATAAGCCAAACAAAACTCCAACTATGAGAGGAAAAGTTCAAAATCTAAGGGTAGAAGACTTTTAAAGCGTCTTTTAGAACGTATTGACTTATTTATCATAAAGATATATCACTTACCTCTAATAAAAGTGAGAAAAATCATTCCAAACGAGGCAAGTAATTTGAAGTACATTATTTAGCACAAATAAAAAAAGGTTTCCTTTCTGAGATAAAATAAATTATTACATGATGAAAATCTTTTAAACTGCTTGACACAGGAAAAGAATCATTTGGCCTAAGATTTCCTCAGGACCAGTTCAAATTATACCCAATTTTCATTTCAATGGCAGAAATCACCAAGAATTAATCCCAGGATTCTAGTTGTATCAGATTTGCCACTTCAATAGTATTTGGGTCCTTCAAAATTATGTTAATCAAATAATCAACTTTTCAAAATAACTATGGGCATTTAAACTGAGAAATGGTTTAGTCAGTTGGGGCATGAAGTGATCATGGGAAAATTCCCAAAGCGTTGATGGATGCAGATCTAGTTTCTGTAGTTAAGACATTTAAAAATGATTTACTCACCCCCACTCCCAGCTTTGTGGTGATTCACCTAAGAAAATCTCTCTCACTGGCAGAAACTCATGTCAGCCACATTATACACTTAAGAGAAATACCACCAAGACCTAAATATCATGTTCCTAAGCTAATGACATGCATATCTAAGAATTCACTGTAACCAATATCTGTGTCCACATCGGCCCCAGATCAAACAGTGCCCTGACATCAATCCTTTTGGTCCCTTGCCCACAGCCACTGCAGAGCTCATTATATGTCCTCTGTCACATAATCTCACACTACCAGTAGATGTTCTGACTGCAGCTGCTGCTTATGTATTTGGGGATTTGAGCCTGACGGCTCAATGTCAGCTTGAATATTTACTCCGGTACTAACAGAAACATTATGTTACACAAATGGCATGCTTCAGTTCTATAGATTTTTTTTTAACATGGTTATCCAGTAGCCTAGAGGAGAACTGTGGATGCTGACTTTGATAGAGGGGGTGGCACACAAGGGTCACCACATGCCGAATATCAAGTTTTTTTAATTGTCTGTTATCCCATGAGCGTATTCAAAGCAGGCTGACAGGCATTAGTTTTATTAGAACTTCAGCCTTGCAGGGAGATGCCTCTGGTTTTTAGGGCTGTCATGTAATAGAGGTTAGGCTCCTTCTGAATGACCCCAGAAGGCAGAACTTAACCAGCTGATGAAATTCTTAGGCAGTCACTTTTTAAAAAATTCTTTGTATTACGTTTGTTTATTTAGGGGATGGGGCATGCCACTGTGTGCATTTGAAGGTAAGAGGACAATGAGGTAGAACTTCGTTCTCTTATACCATGTTGGGTCTCAGGACTCAAACTCAAGTCACCAGGCTTGGCAGTAAGCACCTTTACCCAAGGAGCCCTCTTGCTTGGCCTGACCGTTGCATTTAAACCAAAAAATGAAGGAGACTCTCCTACCTATGAGATCTTAGTGAGCACTGATAATGTGTTTTGTACAGAGGAAAACTTGTAACACAACTGTGAAGACATGTTTAATAGCCAATGTATAGCTAGATGATGTAGTGATATTTTATTTGTATGTTAATAAATAAAGTTTGCCTGGAGATCAGAGGACATAGATAGCCTTCCATAAACAAAAGTCAGGCGGTGTTAGCACACACCCTTAATTCAATCACATGGCAGGCAGAGACTCTGTGTGTTCAAGGACACAGCCGAGCCTGGTGACACACACCTTTAATCCCAGTACCAAACATAGAGACCTGCTGTACAGACGACCAGTGATGAGGAAGCAAGGTACTGGGCTAAAAGCCAATGAGAAGGCAGAACAGCAAGGCAATAAAGGCGCAGGTTAGGTAGGAAGAAGCTGGTTCTCTTGGGAAGCTATAGCAGCGTGGTGAGCTAAGGTTAGTTGGTGGCTCTCACTATTTCTCTGATCTCTATGGCTTTCACCCCTGTATTTGGCTCTGTGTTTCTTATTTAATAAGACTGTTCAGAAATTTGTCTACAAGATGAGATGACCACTGAATTATCCAAAATTCTGGAAGTTTAGGGTCACAACGTAAGACTCCTCTGGATAAAGAAGAGGCCATAGATTACTGATCTACAGATCATTAAAGGGAGTCTCTTACCCTTGGATTTCATTCTATAGTGTTGCTGGCCTTCTTCCTGGGGAAACTGAAGAACAATTCAGCCATGGGCCGCAGCTGCTGCGTGGCTAATGGCAGAGGAGCCTGGAATGCACGTTCTCGCTGGCTCTGCTCACTGCCAGCACGCTTGCCTGATCTGAACAAAAATCCAGTCAAGCTGCCCGCTTGGACCCTTGCTAGCACTGGCCCGGCGGCGGCGGCGGCGGCGGCGGGGGTGGGGTGGTGGCTCATGAGATTTCCAAGGGAGACAAGGGGCTGTTTTCAAACTGTGTGGGCACCACATAGAAGTGACCCCCACTTCTCTGCGCTGTGCAATCATCATGTAGTTGCTGTGTTCACGGAGTCCATGTTTCCATGTTCTCTCTAAGTGAGGTTTGCGGAGTTCCTCCACACAGTTTCTCAGAACGTGTTCTATGGAAACACTGTGGAAGTCATAATGAGAGCAATGGTCTGAGATCAAAGAAATTAAAGAAATACTGCATACTTATGCCTTTCTAGAAGGTTCACAAAGCACATGATTGTGTTAGCTTTCTCACAAGTTTTATGGCATAGAAACTTTGGTAACTCAGCTTGGAGCTGTAAAATTCCCTTCCCCTCACAGGGAGCTAATTAACATGCACAAAACACACACTGGAAAAGAATGCTATTTTAGTAGCAAGCCCTCACTTTCATATGGGAAGAAATTTAGGTCCAGAGAGATAAACTTTGTCCCAGGCTCAACATGCTGGATAATTAGGGGTGGAGCTTGTGTTTCTCGGCTTCTCAGCTGATGTTTTCTTGTTTTATTTGAAGGATTGTCAGGACTATATGCTTGCCTTTTACATATCACTTTATCATCCCAAGGTCAGGTTGTTCATCCCTAGATTGATCAGCTCTGGCCACAGGAAAAAAGCTGGCAGATGCCTTGGAATAAGTGTTTCCCTCTGCTATAAGTACATGGGCCAGAAGTTTGAGGTTAGGTTGTATAAAACCAAAAATGTACCAGATGGAGAAAAGATGTTTCCACAAATCTGGAGATAGCCCAGCCAGAAAGTTATCTTCCATACATGTTTCATGGCTGATTCCTAATGCACATGCTTCCTCTTTTTCTTACACAACTCCTAAGGAACCTAGTTCAACTCAATCCATCTATCCCAGACAACACTGAAGTCTACTTACTCCAATTAAAAAAATAAGCAAGCCAAGGTAGCGTCTTGTCAATATTCCAGAAGTGGGATGACTGTTCTACATTCAACAACTCAAGATCCCTTCTCCAGATGGTTCACTTATACCTCCATCTGGCATAAACTTGAGAAGCACGGACCTCATACTTCTTGGATGTCATGCTAGTTGGACTTCCTACCACTTCCATTTTTAATGCAGTCCAGTGGACAACAGTGAAGAGGAGGAATTAGAGCAACAGTGAAAACATCTATTAAAGCATTAAAAAGTGGATATACCAGGCCAGGGGCATTTCTACATGGAGAGAGGAAGATGCTTGTCCAGTGGGTGACTAGCCTTTCCACAATTCATCAATCAGTGCCTTGGTAGGTTGGTATCAGCTCCCATGGCAACTCCCAGGAAGCACTCCTCCGAGTCTCTGGGTCTCTCAGGACCAAATAGGAATGAGGCACTGTGGACCTTTCTTAGGGCACACTAATGTATTTCTTTGATTCTTTTAGTGTCTCTGTTGGTGGCTGAGTAACACGAGAGGCTGAGAAACACAGTCAACTTCTATTTTTCAGTTCTGAAAATGTTTTTCACACGACTACCCCAAATTGTGCTTATGACGCTGCCTCCCAATGCCACTGTTGAAGACACACTGTGCTCATTAGCAACATCAGCCATTTTATAGTCTAGTCAGGACTGAACTACAAACTACAAACTTAAACAGTTCCACAATGTCCTAGTTTATGTTTAAGTATTCAGTCCTGGAGCAAAAATGAAACACAATAGGCTGGACTGAAGCAGCTAGAAGTTTTTTTTTCTTCATGCATTAATTTGTTCTGGAAGAGAACTGTTCAATAAAACTTCCTGCAATGGTAAAAATATATTCTTTATTTTGTACTATTCAATATGGTTGGCACTGGGCACACCTGGCTACTGAGCACAAAACATGGCTAGTGCCAGTGAGGAACTGGATTTTAGTTTAATTTAATTTAAATTTATGAAGCCACATGTGGCTAATGACTACCATATTGGACAGCACAGATCTAGCGAGTCTAAGCCAAGGCTAACTTCTAATCATGGCTGTCCAGGGTAGCACTTAGCAGGAAGTGAAAGACAAGAGGACCTGAAACCAGAGATCCCCGGTTGACCTCTAGGTGTGTGTGTCTCCATTCCAATTTCAAACTGTAGCTTGTTATCTTCACCATCAGAATTTCGGGCTGTTGGCAAAAATTGGATGAATTTTGGAGCTCAGAATGAAGTGATGATGTTCTGGTAGCTGTGGCTTCAGGTTTTCCTTCCACAAATGTCTTAGCTGCTTCTGAGTCCATTTTTAGGTGAAGTCACCTTGAATAGGAACTTACTGCTCTTTAAAGTAGGCTAAGGTGGCCACAAGAAATATTCAGCAATTGTTGACACTCACAGTTTGATATCAAATTCTCAATCTTCTGCCCCTGAAGAGCACAATATCTGGTTATTAGAGAGGAATCAAGGAATAAATTACAAGTTTCTATTATCCCAAAGTTGGAAAATGAGCTCTGCTTCCAGCCATGGTGAACAAATTTTTTTTTTCCAAAGTGTTTGCTTTTGTTTTTTGTTTTCCCAGCCTTTGTCAGTATGAGTGCTTGCCTCCTTCTGGTTGTGACAATCATAGTAAGAAACTCATTTAAGGAAATTATTTGAGCGGGGTGCTAGTGGTGCATGCCTTTAATTCCAGCACTCGGGAGGCAGAGGCAGGCAGATCTCTGTGAGTTCGAGGCCAGCCTGGTCTACAGAGCGAGATCCAGGACAGGCACCAAAACTACACAAAGAAACCTTGTCTCAAAACAAACAAATAAACAAAAGAAAAAAGAAAAAAAGAAACGAGAGAAAGAAAAAAGAAAAGAAAATCATTTGGATGACCCAGGTGGTGGATGGGTGGACAGGCAGACTGTGAATGAACACTGATATCAACAGCGTTGAAGCCCAGAGCGGCATTCTCACTGGTCAGCATGAGGAGGCAAGAGACATGGCATCTTCTGAATTCACATACAAACATGTAGCTTTTCTTTTTGTCTCTAATTAAATCTTCAGCGAGATTCCTGGATTCTCACTTATTTCCTTTGTCACGTGGCCTGTTTATAGTTCAGTTTTTCTCTGCGTCTTCCAAGCATGACATTAAAATTTAGTGTTGCTTCAATCCGGAGTTTAGGAAGAGACTGGCTGTGCTCTGCTGATGTGGCCTCCCCATCATCTCCCTCTGCGCCATACCCTGTTTAACTTTCTGCTGTGGCTTCTCTCATTAACTGACTTCTAACTTCAAAACTTCCAAAGAAAGGGAACTTTTTTTTTCCACCCACATTTGTGCTCCATCCTCTTTCCTTCTTGTTTCCCATTTGTTCCTCATTGCAGTTAGTAATTCTCTCACAGAAGCCCAGGAGGACTGAAATAGCAAGCATGTCAGCAGCCCCACACACTGAACAGTTGGTACAACTGGAAAAGCAAGGGGAGAAGGAGGCAACACAAAGTGTGAACAGGGCCGTCTCTTTGCCACAGAGAACTGTCTGACAAAAGAATGGGAGCAGATGTACCAGGAACACTTAAAATCCCATCAAATGTTAGGACAGCCTGTAGCAATTAGAACACAAATGCATGAAGGTCACTGACAGGGCAATGTCTGTATCCAGAAGACATGAGTCAAAACGATGGTTAGACATGAGGAAGGACCAAGGATAACTGCATACCTTAGCCTAGCATCAGAAAACATGAGAACTAGAAATATGCTTGCACCCCTTCCCACATATGTACATGGATACATGCATAGGAACATGGATACACATACACTGTACCACACACATGTGCATACAATAAGAAGAAAGACAGGGGAAATGTAAGCATGAGAAGGACTCAAAAGTCAGTGGATCTAATCGGTAAAATGTGTTTTCATCAGCTGTCCTTCTGCCACTTAAAATAACTCTGGGAGTGAGCCTCTTCCCTAGTAAAGGAACTCACAAAACAAAATATTCCAACTAGAATTTGCATAGATAATGTTCTAGAAATACACATATTGATGAGCCCTCAAACCATGAACTCACTTAGAATGCATCTGGCCCCACTCTCAATGACCAGTTAGAGTCACCACTTCATTGACTTCTGCCACATTGGTTAGTTTTGCGTTGCTTTGAGCATGAGATGAAATGGAGTCATGCAGTGTGGACTGAATCTTTTATTCTTTTACACCTTCCATACAGCTGCCAGCATTTTAGGAAACTGCTGTTATGTACCAAAGACAAACAAATTTTCCTTGTGCTTCCTCCAAGGTACATCCTAAACCTAAGTGTGTGTACATGTCCACTAAAAGGTAAACTTAGGAGCATCTGTAATCACATTCTCCATCCCAGTCCTAAACTGGAAACATTAAGATGTAGATCACTGTAGATCTGACAAATTAACTATGGTATATGCCCAGTTCAATGAGAATGACATATTATTTCATGCAATAATAAGGATGAATCTCACAGTCATAAAGTAATTTTATAAAGAACATCTGAAAAAGAAGTTGGATATTTTAATCTGTCCCTAATTCTTGAAAGTGTTCCCATGTTTGAGTACTCAAGCCTAGTTTTCAGATTAAACTTAATTATAGAAAAACTTAATTTTGCTTCCATTCTACAGATTTTTCATTCAGAATTAGTCAGGTTCATTGGAATACATTTAATGAGATAATGGCATATTTAATGGGTAAAGGAGTATTTAGAATGCACCCACATACAAAGTCTAAGATGATTTGAAGCTCACCACATTACATGAGTTCAATAATTTAGTGCCCAATCACATGCTCAGAGAGTCTTCTGAGGAATCATGCCTTTGTTCTTGTGGCACATTCCTTGGTAGAGGCGTCATTCTCCTGCTCGACTCTGTTCATGTTACCCCCAGAGCACACCCACTTCTTGGAGAGTCCAGCCAGCTCTACTTGTGTGGCATGGGAGAGACCAACATTCTTCAGTAGGACGAGTTACACAACTGAACCTTTCAGCGATAACTCTGGTTTAATCTAAGTTGACCAGTGGCCAAAAATCAAACTGACCAAACTTCAGATGAATCTTGGCCTTATCTGAACTTACCTAATAGCCGCTATGAGTTTTTAATTACCTGTCATAGAAAAAAATTAAAACGTTCTACACTAATCAGCAAAAAGACAACATAAATACTTGCCTACAAAGAATCCCGTGTTTTTATTTACTAACAAGAA